AAATATTTTTAGCTGTAGAAAATAAACTGCTTCCCTTATTTACTTACTGTGTTTCTTGTACCGACATGTCATGACAAAGGTGAATCATGTAATTCCCGTCAAATACTTAATTCGTTAGGATAACCGGCCTTAAATACATCACTATTATTTATTGCTTTAGCATAGAACTGAAGGTTATCAAAGGATTTCGTAATTTACAATTCTGTTCCTAATTCCGTTTATGCCATGATGTTAAAAATGATAGGTATCTTTCCAATAAATGTAGACATATTTAAATTTCGTATCTACTTGCAGTTCTGAGATAATTAATTCTCGTGAACCTAAAATTTTAGAGGTTAATATGGCACATTTTAATTCGTGATAGAGCATCTGCTACAACATTTTCTCTCCCAGAGTATGCTTAATTATTCCATTATATTTTTGTGATTAAAGAGGCCTATCTGGTAATAAATTCTTCCTCGAATACAAACATTCAGTGGCTGCATAACCCGTATACGAGGTAACCGGTTCTTTGCCCAAATGTTTGCACGGCAGAACAGGACTGCTGATGTTTCTCTCTCAATAATGGTATAGTTTCACTAACATATACTACCGGCTGACCGTCTTGCATAAAACAGGCTCCTATTTCAGGCGAAATAAGCTGCACCTGTGGCGATTTCTAATTTACCGTTCGCTTCAAGAAATTTCAAGATGGGAGTAAATCCACTTTTATGTTTTTCGAAAGCCGTATTTTGGTTCTGCTGATCAAGTAAATCTAGGCCTTTTTCCTTTCTAAATTTAGTAAGAGCTCTGCTATGTGAGTAAGATCTTTAATTGAAGTTCTGTAATAGGAGCTCAAACACGATGCCAATTCTTTCGTCGTGTTAGGTGATGGACAATTTATATAGCTGCAGTTTTGGAATCTTCGGTTATTATTCTCCGCTCAGATATCTTATAACCTAAATATCGAAGTTCTTTGGCTGCGAATTTATTTTGCCGCATTCACTTTTAAACTTGTTTCCTTTTAAAACGAAAAAACTTCGTGCAAATCTTGAATGCGTTCATGAGCTGTGTTGCTTGTGCTTATTATTACATCTAAATATATGAATGTTGATTTACCACAGACAGTCCTTAAGATTATGTAGCTGGCTTTTTGAAACGCAACTAGCACTTTGCACAGGCCAAACGGCATTCTATGGAAGGTATGAACCCTTGATTTGGCAATACATTTGCATGTAAGTTTCTAACCACACAAATACCCTTTTTTATGCTAATTTTTAAACCTGCACATTAAACGTCCTTCTACTTACGCATTCAAATGTTTTTCCTGCGCTGCTATCACTTTAGTTCCCGCCATATCAAATAATTAATAAAATCGATAACCCGTTAAAATCTAAAATTTTTCCAGAAAACACTGCTCCGCCTTTTCTCCAATAAGGCATCTGAAGGTATGCATTTAAAACAATTTCATTAACTGGAAGAGATAAATTTTTAATTAGTACCGTATTTAGCTGCATGTAAGAGACTTTTTATTTCCTTTGAAGCGACTGACCTCTCGGACTCCCAGCGCCTCTATTTAGTTTAAAGATTTCATTTTATCATCCACAGCCTTCTCTTTTAAGATACGTCGTGACGTTCGCCATTTAACGGACGAAACATTTTGCCGAATCTAGCAAGCCCCTTCAGCTATTGAGGTTTCCTCTAACTATTTGCTCGTATTTATTAAATATTCGTCGACTTCCAAATTTCACGACTTAATCAAAAAGTTGTTCTAGCGTACCATGGTTTCTCAGCTGTAAAAAATCCTGATTCTGCCACCGCAACCTGGATAATATTATCTGAATAACTCCTGCATCTGTCTTTTTTTTTCCCCCACACGACAAATTTAAATTTAGCCCCTGCACTTTTCTTGAAATAATTTTCGTATCTCCAACAGCCGTGTCTCCACAGTACGAATTGTCCTATTTTACTTGTTTCATTCTGTTTAGAGAATCGCATATCGGTTAAGGATTGGATTATTTACATCACCGGTGTCAAATTGGCGGCCCGCGAATGCATTTCCTGTAAATTGATTAGTATAATTATTACAAGACTGAAGAAAATTTTATGATCTGCCACCGCAACCTGGATAATATTATCTGAATAACTCCTGCATCTGTCTTTTTTTTTCCCCCACACGACAAATTTAAATTTAGCCCCTGCACTTTTCTTGAAATAATTTTCGTATCTCCAACAGCCGTGTCTCCACAGTACGAATTGTCCTATTTTACTTGTTTCATTCTGTTTAGAGAATCGCATATCGGTTAAGGATTGGATTATTTACATCACCGGTGTCAAATTGGCGGCCCGCGAATGCATTTCCTGTAAATTGATTAGTATAATTATTACAAGACTGAAGAAAATTTTATGATTTTAATAATTTTGGAGGCCAATTTTACATTATTTTTCATTAAAAACGAACGTAAACTCAAGAAAATCTGCAAATGGAGTTTGTAAGGTATCTTATGTTAAAGGGTTATCACATCTAGCGACGGTCCCTGCTAGACGGTCTGATGAAAGAAACGAGATTCTGGTAGCACTGATTTAAACGGAAGGATTCCTAGAAGAAACAGCTCCGCTGGAAGCAAAATCCCGCCTAACTACGGAAACCATGTTCCGCGTAGAGATGAACCAATCAGATGAAAGTTCTTCTTCTGAAGGATCACGCGATCCTAATCTGAACGATAATCGATTACCGTTTGGCGTTTAAGTCTTTGTAATAAGTGAAAATGGTAACCTAGCTACGTGGGTTTCCTGGAATTGCGCGAGTTCTGATAATTGTCCCTTTCGACGTCCAGTTCCGTGTAGCTGAAACATAATGTGATAGGGGGTTTTGATTAACCAGTTATTAAGATTTCAGTCTTTACTGTAACTTCTTTTTTCCATATTCCTCACCAGAATGCAAATTAGGTTTTTGTGTATTTGTGTGTGCAAATCCGATAGAAGACGCTCGCGTTAATGAAACCACTCAACAATTTTGACCGTAGAAGATTGGTGTTGACCTTTTTTGGGAAATTTAGAAATGCCTTTTTGATTGTAACTTGTCGGAGAGAGGCAGAGGGAACCAGGTAGTGAAAATTAGAAGTGCTTTAGAACTGCCCTTTTGAAAGCATTCCCTTTGAAAGAGACAAGGCGAAGTTAGAGTCGGAACTTTATGGTAAATGCCAGATTAAAGCTAATGATGATCTAATTAAAATTAACCTGAAGCTTGCTGTAAGACCACAATACGGTAGTAATATCCTAGCTAAAAAAAGAGATTTCTCCGAATACTCGAATAATGAAGAACTATGTAGCGACTACTCGCTGAGTTTTGTACCTAAGCAACAACTCCCAAGAAGGGTTAAATGTCCCTTTAAATTCAAAACAGATTCACAGATGGTCCATCTTGGGCTTACAATAAGCCTTCACTTAGGCTTAAAACATAAAGCTAATTAATGCTAAATAGATTTAATCAGCCGAAGCTGCACAGAACCAATCTTACATAGTTGGCTCTTAACTAAGAATTCTAACTCGAATTCTATCACCTAGAATTCAATAAACCTCTATTCTAATAAATTCTATTACCTCAATAAACATTTGAATGGAGCTAGTTAATTCGCACTGATGTTGAAGATTTATGATTATCGACAGATGCCTTACTGATCATGCAAAAGCCTTACGCATTATACACACAAAGAATGAGCAATACCGAAAATAAGTGTTGGCGCCAAAACAAATAATATTTAGAATAGAAAGCTACTTTTATTTAGCTATCGCTTGTAAAAACAACATTTAGCTGGAATCTTCTGAAAATTGGCTGCGTCTATATCTACAGGTGGTCCTCAGTGAAAGAGAATAGAGCTAGATTTTAATTCTAAGAATGATACTCACAAGGCACTGGAATAACTCTTAAGAATAAAATCGGGATCTATTATTTTTTTAACCTCAAGCACTTTTTATTGATTACTTGTAACCTATTAAATGAAACAATTCAAATTTCTGTACTTTGGCCCGCAATAACGAAGTAATAATGTTAATTTTATTATTATTTTTAGATAAATAGAAATAAGTTATGCAATTTGATTTATGCAAAAAAAAAATACTTTTTTTTTTTTTAAATTTACTTTTACGAAAATAAAATAAAAAAAATTATTCTGAGTTTGAGTTCCATTGTAGACAACATGAATTAATCTAGAAATAAGCAGCCAGTTTGTTTAGGGAAATAAAAGATAATTTAGTTGTTGTCTTCTCCATATTACTGCTGCCAGAGCCTACTCCAAAGAGAGGCTGGATTCTATTTTCCACCCCCAAATTTTAGAGAGAGCAGCCCGGGGGGGGGATTTGGGAGACTCCCACCATTTTTCCCTTCCACTAATCCACACGAGAACTTTTGGCTCACCCCATATTTAAAGTGCCGCCATGTCGCACCGACACTATAAATTTACAAACATCTATGTCTTCTCCGCGATTCGAATCCGGGACCTTCAGTACCATAGTAGGCTTCTCTAACCACTATACCGTCTGAGCGAGGATAACTTAGTTGTTTAAGTTTATTGAAAAAAATTTTTCCTCTTTTGTATTCTACAGAAATAAATATATGTGCAATTCTTTTTAAGATAGTAACACCTGGTAACTATTTTTTTTTAAATTTTCTTATTTATTTATTTTTTTAATGAAGGTGATCGTCCTACAGAATACCTGTTTCAATATCTACTTTTTTTATGCTCTTGGAAACAACGAGTTATTCAGAGGTAGCTGCCACAAATTCGCTATATTTCACTTTTTGAAATGTACAGTTTCTATTGACGTAAAATATTTGCTGTAATGCTGAGGATATATCTGCATTAAAACACTGGTCAATCCACTACCATCCAATACATTTTCAAGATTACCAGCTAACAGAATTTTTGCTGCGAGATGATCATAAAAGGCGTTCATTAGCTCGAGAATAAAGCAATAACATCCACTTTTTTCACAGGCGTCTCAAGACAAGAAGAGGAAAATGCTCATCTTCACTGTCATTGGCTGTATACCACGTGACACTCCCGAAACGTTTTAGGCGCTATTTCTGGTTTTTCGCCAACTGCAATTGTGTTTCTCGCCAATTGTTAGCGGTTTGTTTAAATCAAGGATATTGCTTCTTTTTTTTTATTATCAAAATGGATATGTTTAAATGTAAATCTTGCAGTTCATCTTTTTATGCGAAAAGATATTTGAAAGCGCATGCACAAAGAATACGCGAATTTAAACAATAAAGTTGCACCATTTTCGTGTACGTATTGTACGAAGCAATTTTGTACAAAAAATTCTTTAGCTAAACATAGGATACGTATCCATAATATAAGGCGAAGTAATATTAAATGCGGCGAAGACGAATGCCGGGAACTATTTCCTACTACAGGAGATTTAAGATCTCACTTAGAGACTTGCCATAATTACAGCAATATGACCAAATGTATAAAACTGGAGTTTAAAAAAAAAGCAAGGTATGCAATGAACTTTTTATTATTTTGTTTTCCTAGTTCAATTATAAATAAGCAAAGTATATTGCGTAACTTCTGTATATAGCCCTTAATCTTTTTACATTAAAATTAAATAACTTATTTGTAAATTAAATAGCTTCATTAAAGCTAGTTCAGCAATACATTTATTTGAAGAAACACCATATATATGGTATTATTAATTTAAGCTGTTTCAGCACACAAATATGCATTTATTTGAAAAAATTAACAAATTAATTACTTTGAAACATATAATTTCAGAACACTATAGTTTTAACAATTAAGATTATTTTTCTGTGTGGCTGCAATCTGCATATTTTTATTTACTAATTAGATGCCCTTATTATGAAAATTTATACATTTATTTATTTATTAGACTTTTATTCATGGCTATCGGATGAAGAAAGAAAAACAAAGACTCATTTTGTGGTAGATTCATCTGGGCAGAAACATAAAAATTACACCAGGACGCTGTTTTGCTGTAATAGAAGTGGGACATACAAAGCAAAAGGCAAAGGTGAAAGACAGCTAAAAGCACAAGGGACTTCCAAAACAGGTTTCTCTTGCACAGCTACTGTCATACTAAAAGATTTTGGCAATCGTTTTGAAGCTGTATATTTTAAAGAACATTACAAGCATGAAAAATCCCTTTGTCATCTCCCTATTCCTAAACAAGAAAAGCAAAGTATAGCAGGCAAGTTATGTGTTAGACCGTATTTTGATTGTATTAATTTCTCTTAAATAAAACTATAATTACTTATGCAGTTGGAGCCTTTCTAGCTGTCATTAATATACAGGTGGTTCAAAATTCCAAAAGTGAATGAATTTTAATATTAATGAAGTTGATAACGAAAATCATTCATGGAAAATTCAGATTGGGAGAGAAACACGCGAGTGTGAAATTTAAAATTAGGCTTAACAGCAGACTTAATTTGCATAGATTTTAAATAAAATTATCAGCTTTGAGGACAATCAGACACAGGTATCTCTTCAGGAGTACAAAACTTTTGCAAAATGGAAGGAGTGGGTAGAGCAAAGTAAAGATGAACGTAACACTGTCTGCTGTGGAAAATAATAATGAAGCATGTAAAACCAAGATATTATAATTCTAAATGTGTTATGAAGGAATTAACACATTTATAATTCTAATATCTTAATTTGTTATATTTCATTACTGTTTTATCTGAATGGTTCAATGTTTGTGTTTCTCTGTCAACTGCTTTTAATATAAATTTGGATAATTCTCTTGAAGAAGAGGGACCTTGAAAATGCTGAAGTTTGATTCAAAATCTAGATGAAACTAAGATTAATATTTTGCCTGATTTAAAATTATGGTAAATTGTTTTCTCTTGTATTTATGAACAGCATATTAAATATTTATATAAAAGTGATTAATTATCTATATTTAAGTAACCTGAGATTTGTAACAATTGTTTTTCTTATTATTAAATTAAGTATCATATTTCTTACTAATCTACTGTATAGGCATATTTGTAAATTTAAAGATACTTTTTTTATTCCATTAGTTTTTAGTATATAAGATACATCTGTCATGATATTTACATTTTTCAGTAACTATATTATACTAATGAGCTAATAGTCAGTTTAGAGTTTTCGCCAGTAATCTATTGTCACATTTGTGAACAGGTGGTGTGGCTACACCGGACGTTGCCAGAGCGGACACGTACAATTTCGCGATCAGAGCAGACACTTCGAAACTCATCGTGGTTAGAGCTGCACATCTTTTCCCCATCTTAGAACAGATAAAGGGTGCAGATAAATAAGTAAATAAATACTTTTAAAAATTGCAAATATAATTTAAAACAGTATTTTAAGTGGCAAATCTCTTTTACCGATGTTTTCTGTTTTTGCACTCGATTATCGAATTACAATGATAAATACATTTTTGCCAATCATATTTAATTATTTATATGTATTTAAATTGTTATGATATTATAGTGCGAATGCATTTTAAACATAGCGAAATGTAATAAAAATAAAAACTTTTGTGTAAATATAAAATGTAATAAAAATAAAAATTTCAGGGATTTTGTGGAAAACTGTATTTTAGAGTCAAATATTAGAACAGGTGCAGTTACCATAAAATTAATTAGCTGCATTAATGTAAGTAAAAATAAATATTAGAAGTAAAATATACAAAACAGATACTAGTAAATAAATACTAGCTATCCTTTATTATAAAGGCATAAATATAATTTACAATTTAGTCCAACCTAGTTACAAAACTTAAAGATTTTAGACATTTTTCTAAATTGTTTGATGTTTCGAATTCTTTTAGGATGTTTTTAATTCTTTCATCCAATTTTACATATGCTTTTTTCCTTGTTATTTCAGGGTCGCCTAATTCTCTGGCTTTCAAATTAAAAGACACTTTTTTGTGTTTCTTCTTTTAGTATTTTAACTAATAAGTGCACAATAGGCTGGTTTCCGTATTTTAATGGGCATATTTGGATTTTCCACCACTGCTCGACAAAAGAATCAATGAATGTGGTAAGTTTGTCAATGCTGAAAGCTTTTTCCCATACAATGCTCCAAGTATCATCTACATGTTCTATTGGCAAGTAAGCTAAGGCAGAAATCGTTCTACAGACATGTCTTATATCTTCGTTCTCTTTATATTCCTTTATTACACCCATTTCTCCCCATTCATCTTATGTCACAAACATTGATTAAAATGAAAGTTACAACCGAATATAGTCGAACTGGGAAATTCTAACATACAGCTATTGATGGCTGCGGCTTCAAAATCAAATTTTATAATGCCCGGCTTCTACTTAGGGTACCAACATTTCACTTCCTGAAACATTGCAACGTACGTTGCTTGTGTCTTATAAGGCAGAAATGCAAAAAGCGCTGGATAAATATTGGTCTCAGTTGCTGTACTCCTTAAGTTGATGTTCAAATTTCAAAACACTTACTATTTTATATATTGTTGAAATAATTGATTAGGGCAATGATTGTATTCGTGTTCATTAAAAAAAAAAAAATTTCAGTTGCAAGCTGATATTCTAATATTATACCATTGTTTGCATGGAATTAATATTTAGTAGGTATAAAATAATATAAAATTTTCTTTTCATGTTCATATAAATGAAAAACTTTATTTTGCTTATAGTATATATAATTTTTATCTCCTAATTATCTTTTTAAATTATTTCAGGTAAATTATTGCAGGGGGTGGAAGAGAAACGAATTTTGCAAGATGCAAGATTCTCTTCGAGAGATGATATTGAAACAAAACAGTTAATAACGAGAAAAGACCTGCATAACATTAAGAGGGATTTTGGTCTGAGCATTAATTCTAAAGGATTAATTTTAACAGATGATGAGACAAGTGTTTGGTCCTGGGTTAATACGATGTCGCAAATGGAATTCAACCCCGTTCTGATGTATAAACGTCAAGGAGAAAAATATGCAAATGTAAACGAAAATGATTTCATGTTAGCAATAATGACAGAATTTCAAAAAAAAAAAAAAAATGTTGATAGAATTTGGTAATGATAGAATCTGTATTGATTCTACACATGGAATTTCTGCTTATGGATTTGAACTTGTAACATTGCTTGTCGTTGATAAGTATGAAGAGGGCATACCAGTTGCTTTCTTAATATCATCAACAGTATCAGAAAAAATTTTGGTAAACTTTTTTAACTGCATCAAAAAGATCATTGATATCAAGCCAAAGGTTTTCATGAGCGATGATGCTCCCATGTTCTATAATGCATGGGAGCATACATTTGGTTCTTGCCAAAAATTATTATGTGCTTGGCATGTGGACAGAGCATGGAAAGGTCATTTGAATTCTGTGCCAAAACATAAAAGACAAGCAGTGTACAAAACTTTAAAAACTTTAATGTATGAATTAGATGAAGAAATGTTCAACAAAATGTTAGAAACATTTTCTGAGCAACTATGTGAAGATGAAGACACGCGAGAATTCCATAAATATTTTATGACATACTATTTTGAAAGAGCCAAAATGTGGGCATACTGTTTCAGAAAAGGGGCTAAAATCAACACCAATATGTATGTTGAAACATTTCATCGGAAATTAAAATATATTTATTTAGATGGGAAGAAAACCAAACGGGTTGATAAATGTATCATCGAGTTAATTAATCTTGTCAATGATCAAAAGTTTGACACTTACATAAAATATCAGAAAGGAAAAATAACAAAGAAGACAACAAAAACATTTCAACGTCATAAAGCTGCTGAGCTTTTAAATGCTAACTGTGTAAAAAAAGATGATGTATGGGAAGTTTCATCAGAACTGGGAGAAAATTTTTATAAAATTATCAGAGATCATGTTTGTAATGATTTATGCCTCATAACTTGTAGACTTTGTTCATGCTGTTTAAAAGCTTATAAATGTACATGCCATGATTATTCTATTTTAAATAATATGTGTAAACATATACATTTTGTAATCATGTCTGAAAAAAAGACAGAACCTTATATAGGCCCTCTAAACAGAATACCTACTAGGAATAATTATGAATCTTTAACAGTAAGTAAAACATGCATTAGTGAACTTATTCAATCTTCATTTTCAATTTCTGAAAAAAATTAAACTGCATTGAAAATATGGACATTAATCTTGCTACACAAATAAAAAAGCATTTAAATGCAATTGATTAATTATTAGAAGTTCCTTTGTTAGATAAAGCACATGCTTCAATTTCAAAAGAACCAACAAATAAAAAAAATTGTTCCCCAAAAGAGATTTTATTCAGTTAAAAAACGAAAAGTGTGTAAAAAAGTACAGTTTGGAAATCCTTCAACAGCAGAAAAAAATAATACCAAACCTATTTTATTAAATCAATTAATTGTTAATTCAGATCCCAGCTATGATCATTTGTATTGCAGTGAATTGAATGCCAAAAGTTTAAAAGAAAAGTCACTAAATAATGTTTAAGAAAATTATGCTATTTAAGTATTTTTAAAATTTGTGTATTTATAACAAATTATTTGATTTTTATGTAACTAATCTGGATGTCTCATTTTAATTTAATTATGTATCTTATTATAAATTTAATAAAATTGTTATAACTGTTCTACTGTATATCTAAGCTATGCATTTATCCTATACTTAATCTACGCATACATATTAAATCTATTTATAAAGTCATGTTTTATAATAACTATTCTACTGTAAATGTGAATTACACATTTATCATATACGTAATCATTGCCCAGTTAGGTGATAGGATTGTTGATGTTTCTTTAAATAATGAGTCCAGATAAGCAGGATGGTATGAACAATTTATTAGGAGAATAGGCACAATACTATTACACACAGAACAAAAATGGCTGAAAACAAATCAAGGATCACTTCTCAGATTCCTAAATCACTCTTCTCAGGATAAACACTAACTTGTAATTCAGCTAACTGCAAAGTCTGGCACCTGATTCACAAGCAAACTCTCTTGTTCTCAGACCCATATTTATACTCTGCAGGATGCGTTATGCAAGATAAATGCAAAGTTCGTTATGACACGAAAACCTATTTTCGAAGCCCTGTGACCAATTCATCCAGAAGTTTCTAGAGCCATGCTGCAACAGGCATCTCAAGATAGATAACGTAAAATGCTTATCTTTACTGTCATTAACTATATCACATGACAGTCCTGAAACGTTTTTGGCTCTATTTCTAGTTCTCCTCCAACTGCGTATCTCGTCAATTGTTAGCAGTTTGTTTAAATCAAAGAGCTTGCACTTCGCTTTCTTTCTTTTTGCTTTTATTACTGAGATGGATATTTAAACATATCCATATTATATAGATATTTAAACATAATGCAAATCTTGCAGTGCATCTTTCTATGTGATGAGATATTTAAAAGCACATAAACGTATGCACAAAGATACCGTCGCTAAAGTTACGCCATATTCGTCATCAATTTTAAGCAAACACAGAATATGCATTCATAACGTAATGTGAAAAAAATATTAAATTCAGTGAAGTAGGATGTCTAGAACTGTTTCTCACCACAGGAGATTTAAGATCTCACTTTTAAGTTAGTTTTAAGTCACTTTAAGATTAAGATTAAAGACTCGCCATAATTATAATAACATGATAAAATGTATGAAACTTAGAGTTCCATAAAAAACAAGGTTTGTAATGATCTTTTCCTTATTTTGTTCTTTAGTTCAATTATAAATAAGAAAAATATATTACGTGACTTCTGTATATAGCCCTTAAACTTTTTATATTCAAATTAAATAGCTTAATGAATACGGTGTTATTCATTAAAGCTATTTCAGCACACACATTTATTTGAAAAAAACATATATATGGTATTATTAATTTAAGCTGTTTCAGCACACAAATATACATTTATTTGAAAAAATTAGCATACATTAATTACTATAAAACTTATAATTTCAGAACACTATAGTTTTAACAACTAAGATTATTTTTCTGTGTGGGTGCAATTTGTATATTTTTATTATAATGTCTTATAAAAATTTAACAAAAAATGCAACTTATTTTTTTTATCTACTGCCATGTATAATTTGTTGTACTACTTGTTCCTTAATATGGAAAAGTTGTTATAAAAGTGCACAGTATGGCTCATAATTTGATTTCAATGTCTCACTTTAACTTTTTTTTTTTTTTTTTTTTTGTCTTTTGACCAGGAGAATTTATTATGAATTATTATTATTGTTTTACATATATTATTATTAGTTACTGATGAAGATCAATAATGGTTTTGGTTTGGTTTATTTAATTACGGCTATCTGCCTAAGGGAAGGGATGCCTTCGTGGAGGACTTTCTAAGGGAAACTGGCTCGTATACACGTTACACATGGGAAAAACCATGAAAACGCCCATGCAGCCAGCCCATTCACAGGATTCGAACCTCGGACCGAACTACCAGTGTTCAGTGTCTTAACCGCTCGGCCTCTGGTGGGCTATATGAAATAACGAAAATTTGCTATCTTTGCTTTATTTCCAGCATAAATGCAAGTGTTTATTTTAGGAAAATAAAGCTGAATAAAATTTGTATATTTTTTGCTAATTTTTTGAAAGATAATTTTAACTATTTCATTTGTATTATGGAGAATAACGAGAATGAAACAAGTAAAAACCTTTCATCAGATAACAAATAAGCGAAGATGCCAAATTTGAATATTAAGCGATAAAAAATTTTAGAGAGCACACTATTTATACTTATCTCAGATGTTAAAAATCTGTTGGTTTATATAAAAAGTTGACTAATTCTTAATACAGAATACTATAACAATGCAAGCACTGACATAGTTTTCATAACCCTACATTTTAAAAACATTATATTTAAGATATACGGGGGACCCCAAAAATCCCCTGAAACTTTTACGGACTTACTACCGACATTTTGGAGTTTCGAGAAGGGGGGGGGAGAAATGAAAAATTACAATTATGAAGTATTGAATGACCTAATTATAAAAGTTCAATGAATTACTTTTTTTGCAAAATTAATAACCATAAATTTTCAAACATATAAACTACTACATTTTATGTAAATATTTTAAATTACCTGAATTAATTCTTTAAAAAAAATTATCTAATTTCTGCTGCTTTTTTTTATTTTCTGATGTTTGTGGGCTTGTCTTTCTTTTGTGGTGAACTTCATAATTGCAGGAAGGTTGACTTTTATTTTCCTCATTTACAGTTGAAGAAATTTCCTCGAGAACTGCACATGCAGAGGTAGAAGCAGTTTGCTTTTCTGCTAATGTAGAAGGTTTTTCAGAGACTTTTATAGGTGACTCATCTGAAATACATGTTTTTAAGTCCTCTTGATATGTTTTCCAACTTCTGTTCATATTCAGTAAGAGATCTTTGTGAATTGGATCAGTCATTGGATTTTTTTGAGCCATATTTTTCACATGAGGTTTCTTTAGAAGCCATTAAATCATATTTAATAGTCTGCACTGCATCTAGGGAATCAATCTTAAGAGAGGTTCTATAGTCAGTGACAAGTGTATCCATTAAGTTGAATGCACTTTCCACTAATGGGCCATGGAAGCAGCTAAGCCAGGCTTTGACCAATTTAGCCAATGTAGGATACTTATAATCATTTGTGAAATCATCTTTTAAATTAAAAACTTTAGACCAATATTTATCAATTGTATACTTGACTTGATTTCCACTTTCATCAGATGTGTAGAGCATTTCTTTGGTGATATCAATATCACTCTTTACCTTATTTCAGCTCTTCATAACCTTATTTCAGCTTCTACTTTTGACTTTTCATTATCACTAAAAATATGGGACATAAAAGATGATAATTTTTCAAAAGCTAATATTGTACTGGTTTTACCTCTTAGCTCTGGATCTAATGCTGTAAAACTAATTAGATATGAATTTTTAAGGGGTAATTTCTGTTTCATATGCTGTGCTGTATTAGTATACGCTTTCATCAGAGAAATTTGGAATTCTTTTGCTATTGGATGATTTTTGAATAAACGAAACGAAAATTTACATGCATCAATAAATGAAACGAAAATTTTACACAGCGGAGAAAAAAAAGTTGAGAAGCGATCAATGACAAATAGCTAATACGGCGAAAAATCCCCCTTCTCTACTTATTGGCGCTACGCCAGGAGAGATAAGACCTTTGAACTCAGAGTCACGTGATCGCACATCTGG